ACTGATTTTTCCGGTTTTCTGAATCGCTACAAAAAGCCTTTTTTTTAATTGTTAAACCCAACTAAAGAAAAAATTTTTGTGAAAATAATCTTAAAAAGAAGAAAAAACGATGAAGTAATACGCTAAGGATTATTTCCAAAATGATGGTAAGGTAAACGTCTTTCAAAAAAGAAAGAAAAATCCCTAAATCTTATGAGGAAAAAAACTTTTTTTAAAAAAAAATGGCGGGAAAATTTATCGAATTTCGTTCCGGTTTTTTGGTTTTCCGATTTCCGGATAACGGGTTCTGTACTGTACTAACAACAAATCAAATATATATATTTTTTATTAAAAAAAAATAGCTCAATTTTTTAAAAATGTCTATTCTGTTCTGGAGCAATTTAACCCCAACCTGGATGTTATGGAATGTGGCTGATATTTTAAATGGATTTTGGTAGTGGATTATGGTCAGTAATAATAGTAGTAGGTATTGATTCTTATTGTCACATTAACTGCTATAATGAATTTTTGCATTTTGAAGAAGTAACATGCATCATAGAGTATCATAAAAAATTCTTAGCTACATTTTTTACTGAACAGTAATCATAAAATTGACTTATTAAATATATGTCAATTGTAAATAATAGGACAAAAAAATAAGCTTTTCTTTGCTGGTCTTTAAAATAAAAATCATCCAGGCTGGACTTTTTGGAAAAAGTAGGCTTTTTTTGCAACCCACAGTCATTCCAAGAAAAATAATGGTCTATTAACAGATCCTTCGCAAAACGTTTTTAATAGTAAAACGGTCCCTACACAAAATATTTCACAACAAATACAAACACTTGACTAACTATTTTATCATAAAATCTGAGCCTTAAAAAAAGTCCCTTTTTTTATTTTATAAAAAATGGAGATGATACTATCTTCAATGAATGATCTTAAAATTATTAACAGCTTATAAGATATGGATTTTGATCCTTTTTCAAAAACCACAGGGACCTTATATTCACAAAAGCAGGACCCTATATTCAGCTTCACTAAATTATGAGTAGATTCTTAAAATTTTACAAGCATTGTCATTTCTTACAAAGTCTGGAATAACACCTGAATTATGAAATTAAACTTTGCCTTTTATTAAAACTATATTAAGAATATTTTTGCACCAGATCCTGTTTACGACTACAATCATGAAGGAGGCAAAAAAAAAATTTTCACTTTTTTTTCTAAAAATTTAAAAGAAAAAAATACTAAGGTATACCTGGAAATGGCTACAAGTTACACCTTTCAAATTGGTTCCTTTCCATAATGTTTTTTAAATAGTGTTTTTACGTGCAATTACCTGACTGTTGCCAAAATTTAGCAACTTTTTAGCACAGGTAACAATACAAAAATCCTTCCAACATAAATTCCTTTTAAAAGTCACTCATGTTCTTTTAAATTTGCACATTTTGTTTAAAATTCGCAGATACTTTTAGAATCGAATAATTAAATTCCTACAGTTGAAGACTAACGAATAACATTTCATAAGGATACGTCACACAGCTAACACACAACAACAATTATATTTTTTTGACATGGTGTATAGATCTACAAAATTATATGTGTAAAACCGGTAGCAGAAACCTTCTGCAGATTATTACAACTTCTCCAGAATATTCTTCACTTAGGTTTTCCCTTTATTTTTAAAAACAGACAAATAATTGCATATTGCTGAAACCACTTTTTTCAAACATTTTCTAAATGTATTTTTTAAAAGAATTTAAAAAACTTATTTGAACAAACACTGCAAAGAACAAAAAGCAAAAACTTTTTTCGGTAGGTACTTTGTGATTATCCTGTCAACCATTTTCGCCGAGCCTGATATTATAGCCAAAAAGTAGCTTCTGCGCCCAAAACCACAAATTTCAGATTCCGCCAACACTGTGGAACTACTAAAAACCTACTTGGATTTGTATTTGAACAAATTTATGTGGCAGCGACTTGCTTTTTCATGCTGTAAAGGCTATTAAGGATTTGGGGCTACCGAAATGATTTATAATTAAAAACATGGATAGAATTACGAATAATTATTTTTGTAATTTTCGCTATTTCAAGAAAAATTATTTTGTATTAATTATTATGTAATCAGGGGTCTGTCCAGGCCAAATTTACTACCGTTTAGCGGTACCTTCACAAATTCAATTTTAGGTGAAACGGTAGTTTCACAAATTCAACTTTAGGAAAAACGGTAGTTTCACAAAATACTTTTTCTTAAAATTTTATTTTTGTATCCCTTAAGAAACGATAAATCTATATTTTTACCATGTTTTTGTATTGATTTTGTAATATAATTTTTAATTTTTCACAAATTATGTCTAAATTTTCACAAAATAGGTACCTTTCAGAAAAACCTAGACAGACCCCTG